GCGCTTACAACTCCAAGAGAGGCTCACGCAACAGATTGCCAATGCCATTCAGCAGATTCTTGAGCCTCAGGGGGTTGGTGTGATCATGGAAGCAAGCCACATGTGCATGGTCACACGAGGCACTCAAAAATTCGCCGCCATGACGACAACCTGCTGTATGACCGGCGTATTGCAGCGTGACGGCAGGGCCAGGGATAACTTCTACTTCCTTCTCAATCGGCGATAAAGCTCGTGAAGGCTCAGTGGGTTGTCATTGTGTAGTTGGATTCTGAAACGAAAATGAAGCAAAGGCGTCTAGTCCCACTCGTCCGCTGAGCTAATAATTAAATGGACAAGCTTGTAACTTGCTCTTCAGTTTATCCAAGACATGAACTACGTGGAGGGGTAATCCGCTATGGGCTGAGGTGCATGCACGATATTACTTTTATTTTGCATTTCAACTGAGTTGGGGTTTAGTTTGCTTGACCGATAATGTAGATTGGAAAGGGCCCATCTACCATATATGACAACAGTGTGTCACCAATGCACTCGAAATATCTAGCAACTATAGTACGCCTGATAGTGTCATAGGTAATATGTAGTATGTAGTACGTAGGCTCCAACTCAAGAGTGCTGTCATGATGACTCAGCTATTATTGCTGCAAGAAATTCCGGTTGTGTCCTATCTCAGGGCGGGTTATTATATAAACCATAGATACGTACTCTACGACTCCCGTCAGACGAGCCTGACATAAACGTTGTGGTCAGACGTGTCTTAGCCCACCCAGGGTCATAGTCGACCGTTTAGTCTACCAAGTCTACAGTGTGAAATCGAACAGCATTACTGAGAGTGGTGATCGTCGTCCAAAGCCTGCTTTTCTGGGGCCAGACTAACGCTGGCCTACCCCTCCATGAAGATACAGATTTACCTTATGGTCTTACAGGAACGCCATTGGTTTGTCGTCAGGTGTCGAGACATGATTTGGTGGACTCCATTGAACGCGCTTCTAGGTCACGGATAATATACGTCACTACCAACAAGGCTTGCTCAAATCTCCACCCCCGCCTCCTTCCAGATCTGGAAGTTGGTTATGTATTCGCCCGATATGATTATCTTCAGGCCCTAACAGCTTCCAGTATTTTGATTTTCCCCAGGGCTTTTTATGGGTGAGCTCGACGGGTGCCCGGCGGGCTGAACAATCATACCATTATCCCGGTTTCTGCACCTACGTCCTCGGGCTAGAAATGTATGATGTGCCTCCCACAGAAGACCTTCACCTCTTATGTCGAGGAGCTCCCTTAAATGACAGCCTTGACCTTTTCAGCTTTCTGGACCTTCCCCACTCCAGACTCGGTTCTTAATGGATTGCTCTATTCGCGTTATTCGAGGGTACGATGTGATTCTCGCAGGGGTTGAACTCGCTGCAGCCGCTGGAAAATAATCTCATAGTTTAGCTGCACACTAATATTCTCGAAAGCCTAAACTTGTCTGACTAACTTGATCAGTCCTTATGAAGCCCGGCTGGCACAGCGCAGCGCTAACTGGCGAAAGTCCACTCTGGTCTTATGTACCTGCGCGGTGTACGTAGTGCAGTCAAACCTTTCTCCTTTTGGAGTTAAAGAAATTATGTCTCTCTAATTGCCTTTTCGAGTAAATGCTGCGGCCTGCAGTAAACCGAGACACTAGGCCAAGAATGTATTCTTTTTACCAGCTTTGCCTAATACATCACTGTAAATAGTCCCGATAACTTATACACTCCGAGCATGACTATCAAGCTGCATCGCTACAGTTAAGTATCAATGTACACATGATATGAAGTTCCGCAGATTCGCTGTTGTCCTCTCTGTTGCTCTATCTCGACCAACCCATATAACCTGTTATGGAATATTTTTCTACAGGGAACATCTGTTGAAAGCTTTCGCCGTAGACTAATTGTACTACAATGTAGCTGAAGTGAAGCTATAGCTATCGGTAAGAAAATAAAATTGAGATCAGCGATAAATGTGAAATAAGCGTACCGGGCAGGGTGCATTGCTTCAGGATCCGCTACGCTACGTGGTGGCCTTTCTGGTGTCTCTTAACATTCCACACGACGACTTTCCACAGCCCCTAGCATCTTCCTTTAGTCAGCTACTTTCTCGGTCAGTCATTCTACAACCGGATTTAGATTCACTTTTAGTTTAAAAAGTGGACGAGAAAGTAACTTAAGCCACAAATATCCACTTCTCTGGAGCTCCATCACACCTTTTCTCTGAACGCCTTTGCTTTCCGAAGATAAGCTCGACATGACAGTGGGATCGAAGCGCTCAGTGTCCGTCACCACTGACCCCTGCGATAACTCAGATCACTTCATCTTCAACGCTGATGTTATGAGATATCATGATAATCTCTTAAGCTCCTCTGAGCCAGTTCAGGGAGTCGGAGAGGAGACTCTTGCTCCTCTCATGACCAGTTGCGCATTCACGAAGGGTTCTCAAACTAGTCAAGAGAAAAAGACGGCCC